CTCACAATGGATCAATTCCTGAGTCGATGTATCGGTGTGTCACAGCCGAGAGTAACGTCATGGCTGACTATCGTAAACTCACTCCTACATGACCGAGAGTTCTTTCTCCAGAACAGCGAGCTGCCTTGGATGTGTTGGATAAGCCTACCAACCGAGGGAAAAGGATTTCCAAGAAAGAGCCAACTGAAGAGGGAAAGTCTAAATTCTCTAAGTCAACAAAGCGAAAGTCTGTTGCTGGGGATTCTTCCAAGCCCAAGAAAATCAAGAAGATGGCACGAAAGTCCAAGAGTCCCACTCCTCCCAGTTCCGATCATGACGAGGAAAATGAGGAAGAGGAAATTCGTCAAGACTCACCGAGAGGAAACACTCCTCCCCGTTCTCCTACTCCAACCGAATCTCCTCATCACAATGTTCCAACCCCACCTCAATCACCAAAACAGACAGTTCCTGTCTCTGTTCCTATTATTCCTCCACCTATCACTTCTCAAGAAACAACTTTACCACCACCACCACCTCCTATTACTTCCATTCCTATTTCTACAACTCCATTATCAACCCCCATACTTTCATATTCCACCACAACTACAATTCCTGACCCAACAGTGGGAGTCAACGTATCTGATACGGGGGCAAATACTGCAACTGAAACTCCAATCATCACTAAACCTCTTTCACCTACCCACTCAACTGATTCCGGTGCCACTCTCGGTGGAGATAATGATGAGTATGACTCTACATACTTCAGTCCATATCGCCTTCCACCTGATGAAAATGATGATGCTCCTATCAACAGCCAACACTTGCAGGGAATTCATGAAAAGCTGGATCGTTTGCTTGAAGACAGCAAAGCTTATGGTGGTGTTGTTCTAAAAGCTTTCCTGGAGACTGCCATAGAGCAATACACAACATCCATTGAAAAATCTACTAAGGCTATTGATGAGTATACTTCTTCCTGTAAAAAGGCAACCAATGATGTTACTGAGATTGTCCATACAACTCAGATTTTTCTTGAATCATTGAAAGCTCATGCTGATACAAGTGCAGCGAAAGTACAATCCTCTGTGGATGCCTTTTCTAAGTCTCTTCAAGAAGAAACCACCAAGTTTGAGGCTGTGCGTTCATCTATCCAAACCGAGAACGCTTCTCTCTTGAGTTCAGTGAATTCTCGTTTTGCCTCTCTTCACGCAGACCTGGCAACTGAAAGTGCTTTGAAGGCAGATCTTGCCAAACAAGCTTCCACCATTGAAGTCCAAAAGGTGAAGCTAGCCCAAGCAGAAAAAGAGATTTTTTATTAAAGACTCAACGGGCTGTGTTTCAGAGCTGTGCAGGAGAGGTAAAGGACCTGTTGACGAATCTCCTTGGTGCTCATGATCTCATTCTAACTCTCACTATCAGAAATCATCTCACATCCAAACTTCTTCCTGCCCTTGCCATGCTGCATGAAATGAAGGGTGTTTCGGAGGGGTTCATACCTCCAAAACAAGGGGGAGAAGGTGCTCGTGTTGTTCAGCCGAGAGTGATTGTAAAGACAGAAGGTGCTCAACCAAAAGTCACAACCAAACTGAAGGATAATGTAGCTTCAGGTTCTGGCTCACAAGCTAAGCGAAAGGAGATCAATGAAGACAGTGAAAGTGATGTGGAAGAAACAATCGCTGAGGCTCTCCAAAGAAAGAAGAGAGACCGAGAGCTGGATGAGAATTTGAAAATTGCAAAGGAAGCAGAGGAGAGGGAAAGAAGAAACAAGGAAGTAGAAGAAGCCTTGAACTGTAAAAAGGCCTTGTTTCCTTTATGGACGAAAGAGACACTTGTCAATCAGGCTATAGAGTTTCCATCAGTTTATTGGTTGGAACCTGTTGCTTCATTTGATTGTGATAATTCAAAGGACTCGCAGTTTGACATGCCAATTACCAAGAAGGCGTTCACATTCCACTGTTTTGAATCAACTGCTGAGGTTCCTTTTCCTCATCCGAAGGTTGACAGAGAGCTAATTGACTTCTATTTGAAGTATGGGCAACCGCAGTACTTGACTTGGAGTGCGCAGAAAATCATTACAGTCAAGGTACTCAAACCTTCACCTGCAGGGAGATTTATCAATGTCAATTTCAAGATCACTCGTGGTTCAGCAAACACAGTGTCGACTATCTCTCTAGCAGATCTTCCTAATCTCAATCCCCATGATTGGATTTTGTTGTTCAACATTCTGCTCACTAATCCGAAGGAATATGAGCCCATTCTAGAACACCTAAAGAGAATGTTGGCCTCCTACATCCATGAAGTTGCTACTATGGATCAGGAGATAGCAAAGGTTATGAACAAGAAGCCAACAGTCAAGACTACACCGAAACCAGGGGATGTGAATAAGATGAAGATGGGCCAAATAGATTCAACACATCTCACTGTGATGTTTACTAAAGGTGAAGCTCACAGGTTTTTGTTTGCTCTGGTAGATAAGCACTTATTTTCTACAGACTGCTTGGAGCACATCATCAACATAATACATAGGTGCAAGCAGAATTCAGAGGCTGACAAGAAAAATTTTACAGACATGCTTCGGTGGTACATTACATTTCGCTATCATCTTTTGGCCATCATACCGAAGGTGTTTAAGACTGTGAAGAAGACTTCTGTTGTTCAATAGAATTGAGGTTTCGGCTCCAAAGACGCAAAGGGGGAGATTGTTGAGTCCATTTGTGTTGCGTCTTGGGCCTTAGGTTTTGCATCCGGATTGGGTCTGTCCATCCGTGATTATCTAGATTAGCTAGTAGGGTTTTACTATAAATATGCATGCATGTATGCATAATACGCTGCTGATTATTACGTTCATTATTGTAACCCTAAACACCTCTACAGTAGAAGTTCTTTATCGAGCTCTTCTGAGGTGTTGAAGTATTAATCATACGACATATTCAGTGCCATACTCGTGTTCATAGTTACATTCATAATTGTTTGCTTGCATAGAATCATACGATCCTAAGAGACCGTAGTTCCAATAGCTAAGATGGATCTTTCCAAGTTTGCTCATATCAAATCAGAATCACCTGATTATATGTATGTGTTATCCAGTTGATTATGTTTCCATAGTCAACTCCTAACTTGATGGAATTTCATGTTGCATCAACTTTATCCATGTAGTAAGTTTATTTGATATTTTCTCCTTCCTTCAACTAAAAAATAGCCGGAGGAACCTCAAGAATATTTTCAGCAAAGGTATGATCTTTCTTTTCGTTTAAGAGAGCTATTCTCAAAACACGAACAAGACTAAAATTTCCTTCTAGTTTATCCTTTTAAAGGTTTTGTAGCAGTTAACTTTTAGTGCATATTTTTAATACATCATTCAATTAAAGTTTCATCCTAGTTTGTTTTATTAATATTTAAAAAAAAGTTACCCAATTATCAAATGATTTCAAACAAGGCTAGGATCCATATTTCACTCAATGATGCGAAGTGGATGTGCCAAAAATCAAACCAAGAAACTATTTAGGTAGACAAACAATTGTCAATCTCAATCTGTATGAGATTCTAGATCTTTCAAGATTTGTTGACACTATATCAGTAGCATGTTAATCTCTTCTTATGCTCATTTACCATTCATGATTGGATTAGCCGATGATCATGAATCAAAATGGTGAATCGACCATGCAAAGTTACATGATATTCGAATCAAGTAACACTCGAGAATCGCGATTATCATATATCTTACACGACCAGGCGTAATTTCCATGGGAAGCATAAGATTCACATTTTTTTTATAAAAAGAGATTTTGTTTTAATACTTATAATGCTAATACTTTTAACAAGCCAAGTATCCTATCAAACCCTTTTGGTAACTCTACTCACAAAACACAATATGGGGTGGGTTGGCGAGAACCAAATACCACTTAAAAGCCGACCTCATTAGGAATCAAAGAGCTCTCCTTAAACCTTAGAATTTAGAGTAGGTGAGCCTAGTCGTGATGAGACTGACAATGCTTTCAAACATACGAGGATACAATTTTCGTATTTTAGTGTCATATATATATATATATATATATATATTATATATATATAATATATATATATATATATATAGGCCTAGGTTATTCTATTCTAACTAATTATTGTGTTATTGTATGAATGATGTGGGCCAATCATTTTACTTATTTTAAGAAAGTGGTTATTTAACTATATTGAATTAAATATAATTGAAAAATACCATCTAATCTAACTAGAAGGGTATTTTACAGTCAAATAGATTAATAAAGGAAATTTGCATATTTTAAGGTAAATTGGATATTTTAATGGAAAATAGATTCTATTAATTTTAAAAATCTGATTGTATGGATGATAATTCTCCTAATTCAGAAATTCTGACGGAATATGTTTATCAATATATAAAAAATAACAAAAATTATTGAACCATACAAGAATACACATTCTGACATAATATATATTTTGATTAATGAACCTTCTTGAAGAATAACAAAATTTGGATACAAGTTTAAAAAAGTTTCATTACATTCTTAGAAAAGAAAAAAAAATTATATACTATTCTATGAGAATGTTACACTTATTAATAACAAAGAAATACAAATATATAAATCATTCTACCAGAATATACTATTATTCTGCTAGAATAATCCATTCTTTTTGGAAGATTGGTGGCCATTGTTCATCTTCATCCCGTAGAATGTTCATCTTCAAGATTCTATTCTGACATAATCGGAATTCAAGATTCCATTCCAGTAGAATGTTGTAAGTCTCATATGTATCCTTCCAGCGAAGAAAAAAAACAAGAACATTCTCTTCTGATTTCATGTATACTGCAAATGAGAAATACAACCACTCATTGTTACGATGATAAAAATCGTAACAATGAGGTGAAATGAAACTATTGATATAAATATTCAAAAACTAACACAAGTTTAAGTCTAGTAACCTAAACAGAAAATGTCCAACTTTTTCATAAAAAACTACCAAGGATTCTGAAAATCAATACCAACAAGAGATTTCCATATCCATGGCTACTCAGATTTTATATCTTGTCCTGAAGCATTCGATCCATCATTTCCTTTTCCATCTCTTAACTGAAATACATTAAAACAAAATTATGATTCTTATATTCATTTTTTCAGTATTTTTTAATAACCAAATCATTCTCTTAAAATATGATCTTTACCTGTTCCAAGACTTTCTTCTGGTAACGATAGCCCTGATTGGATAAAACAAAAACCAGATTAGTAATTTAAAATAAAAAAGAGCAGAAGAAAACTTATAAATTCATAAAGTTATAATACCTTGTCTGTTCCATAAATGTAATCATAGTAAGTGAAGACAGATGCAAAATTGCTTTGACTTTGTCCACCAACATAATGGTGATAATCATGATAATCAGCTCCACCATAGAAAGGGATAAACTTTGATGATATGTTTGGCCTTTGAGGGCATCACAAAAGAAACAAAAAAAGAATTAGAAAGCAAAACACACACAAAAGTAGGGTAGAGAAAAGGATGGGTGGGGTTAGAATGGGAAAAGTAATTTGATCATTTTCCATATGGCCAAAACCACTAAGAACTTCATCTTCTCTTTCGCAGTCTTACTAGACCTCCTCCGATAATTCAAACTAAAATCCAAACAAGGCTGGTACCTTTCCCCATCCGGCTACTGCTAGAACTCCGATGCAGTTCCTGTCACAGAACGAGGTGGTAACGACACCATTTCAGTGGTGGTGAGACTTACCGGAGCATCGTTGTTATCAGCAGCAGTTGGATCTTGAAACACGGAGGACAATGACGCCAGAAATAGGGTGAGTATGAAGCTGATTGAGAAAATATAGACAACGACGATGTGTTCAGAAACGGATTCATTGCTACACAGCATAGAATCGTAGCCAACAAGAAAGTGAAGAAGAAGAATAATACTCGCATTGAAGGGGCGAAAGATAATTGGGGGTTTCTCGGGTGATTCTTTGGTGAAAAGAGAGAGAGAAATTAGGTTAAAATCAACTAGCATAATTATAGGAAAGTATTTGGGGAAGTTGTTTATAAAATTACCTAATTACCCTTATTTATTTATTTAATTATTATTTATTATTATAAATTTTGATTAGCTCACATTTATGCATACAATAACACAATAATTAGTTTAAACAAATGAACCTAGCTCTCTCTCTCTCTCTCTCTCTATATATATAATATTATATATATATATATATATATATATATATAATTTTACCATATACTTAGCGTAATTTAAACAATTTAATTTGTATGTCAATTAATTCTAATTGGACACACGGGGATGTAATGTCAAGAATTAATACATTTAATCAAGATCTAATTATTTGACTTTTAATTAATTAATTAAACAATTAATTGAGTAAGTAAAGCAATAAGCATAATGGTTATCAAACTTTAATAAAATTGAAAATTTTGCATGTTGAACTAAATTGAGGCATATAACTTAATGGGCAAGCAACGAGGCAACTAATATTAAAAAAAACGAAATCTATGAACAATTACCATGTCATGGAAGAGAAGCCACAACGTCGTGGCAAAGAGATCACAACGTCGTGGAACAGAAATCACAATGCGTTTTCAGATCAGACATTGTCACAACCTCAAAACCAAATGAACGGCGGAAACGTTCTGGGGTGGAGGACGTCATGTACAGTATCACAACAATGCAAGTAGTAAACAAGCAACAACATCATCCATTGCATTAACAATATAATTTCATACAAGTGTGTTCCGTTAAGTTTTAAAGACACCAAAACAATATACATCAAAAATATAAGATGAGTCTTGAACGAGCTCCATCTTCTCAAAACCTGGCTCCGGTACCTGTCTACTGGTGACCTGAGAATACAAGTTATTTTGAAAGAGTTTATCAGCTTTAGAGCTGGTGAGTTCATAAGTATATTAGTGTCTGTGTTTGTATGAAAGCATTTGTAAGATGTACTGTGTGTGTTTGTAAAAGTTTTGTATTTGTTTGAACTATCCTAGAAAACCCTATGTTTCCTACTAAAAGTAGCCTTCTACCAAGGCATCTAGTGTCTGTGTGTGTATCCTTTGTAAAAGTGAGTATTTTCCCAAATCCAACTATCATTAACCAAAAATATAGTTTTTACATTATTGTTTATTGTGTGAAATCACAAAGTAAAATGTAAAGGGAAAATGTTATGGTACTTTAATGTAGTATTATGAAAATACTGTTGTACTAACTACCTTAAGCCAATTGTATATTTTAAGGTAACATGTGATCGGCCTGTATCTTGCTACCGACTCAATAGTAAAGTGACAATGTAAGATGCCACAAAAATGACGTTTGGCACCCGTAGACTTGCAAGTCCACTGTAGCGAGCAGCAAGGTGTAGGATAGTCAATCCAGTATAGATCTATACACAAACTCATACGCTCCCCAATTAAGGAGATTCTGATACAAAAACAGTCATGGCAGGTAGTGTCATGCCCTGTTTAATGGCTCACATAAATGTATTAATGTAAATGTTATGTGAATTGTGTGCTAGCTGTATTGTGTGTTCTTTCTCTGTCTAGCCTGTATGTTTGTTTCTCATCACTCTGTTTCATGTTTGTTTCTCATTATAGTATGTATTGACTCATGTATGAACTGACTCATTGTATGTTTCATCGTTCTAGTAATAGTATCTTCCTAAACTACCCCTATGGTAGCTTACTAGCAATGTATGAATCTGTTTGTATACCCTTGCTACCCAAGGGTATGGACTTGAATGAAGGAAAACCTTTTATATCTATATACATATACATAATATATAACTAGGATTCAAACGACCCTCGGACAACTAACCTTGATACCTAAGACCACAATCAAACAAGAACAGGAAGCAGGGTAGACTAGCAGTCCTAAGTCCTTTCAATCCTACTTATATAACTATATCTATATAGATACACAGAATATAAGTTTAAAAGAGTTTAAGTAAAAGTATTTGATAAGTAAAAGAGTTTGTAAAGTAGTTTGAGGTAAAACAGTTTGATAAACAGTTTGAAAAGTAAGAAAACCATTTGTTTGGTAGTTATTAATCACATGTGATTGATATAATAACTATAATTGTTCAACTTGTATTCCCCCCCCCCCCCATAAAAGCATTTAAAAACATTTAAAAGGTTAATTAAGGGGTATGAACTCACCTGTAGTTGGTGGTTTGGATGAACTGAAGAAATAGGATTGCTAGGTATCAAGTGAAGACTTGTACACACACAATGATCCTATTTAACATATAAATACAACATATATGTATCTAATTAGCCTTTAAACAACTAATTAGCAAAGTTAAGACATCCTAAGACAAGTTAAACACCTTATATAAGTGTTATAAGTCTCAAGGAATGCATCTAAGTGTTGTAGAACAATGCTATAGGGTTTAGGGTTCAAAAGAAACCCTAACTTGAGTTTACGGTTTTGTGACCTCAACCCAATGGGTTTACGGTCGTAAACCCTAGAGTTTATGGCCGTAAACTCCCCCTCTTTTGACCATTTGTTGATTTGAAGGTTTCTATGTCCATTGAAGTGTTTCCACTTGAAGTATAAGCCTAAGGAAGAAGCTAGGGCACCATTTCACTCCTATTTGGAGTTTACGGCCCAAAGACCACATCCCTTTGGGTTTACGGTCGTAAACCCTTATGGATGTTGGTATTTTGATGATTTCAAGTCCTTAACATATCAAGGTAAGGATCCAAGTTAGTTACCTAGGCTTAGGAAGGGACTAGGGACATTTTGGTCCCTTAAAATGGGTTTACGGTTCAAGAATGTTCTTGGACCGTAAACACCATTTTCATGGTGTTTCTTGGATGTTTTCATGTTATAATGAAGTATAGCAAGCTTAAACACACTCTAGGATAGAAGTACTTACTATATGGAAGCTTGAAATGAGCCAAAATGCCAAAAACACTAGTGTGTGTTCTTGGTGTTCTTGGTGAAAATGGAAGAATCAACCTTTTGGAATGATTTCACAGTTAGAAAGGTGTTAAAACACTAGATTAAGTGATCTACTAACTTGAAATGGTTGAAAACACTTACTAGATCGAGATCTGGAATAAATCCCGGGATGATACTTGAAAGGATTTGATATTTGTTCTTGAGAAATTTGGAAAAATGACATAAAATGACAAGTGTCATATATATACTCCAAATTTCTGGGTTTTTGGCTGAAAATATTTTATTCCGGCAGTAAACTCCAATTTCTTGAAGTTTAGGAATAACAGTGTTGCACTATAACCCTAGGGCATCCTCTCTCCTGGTATCTCCTAAAGTGTAAATCCTAAAATAATCAAACTTAATCCAAAAAGTCTGAAAATTTAACTGTAACTGATTTGACTTCTATTGAATTGACATGTTGTACAGAATAGAAATTTCGGGTTGTCACATCATCCCCTCCTTAGAAGGAATTTCGTCCCGAAATTAGAATTTAAGCAAATAAGTAGTTACAAGGAACTAAGTAAAAAGACGAGGATATTTCAGTTTCATCTGATCCTCTCGCTCCCAAGTGAATTCAGGTCCTCGCTTGGCGTTCCAGCGAACCTTCACTATCGGGATGCGGCTTTGTTTCGTTTGCTTGACCTCCCGGTCCATGATCTCTACTGGTTCTTCCACGAAGTTGAGGCTCTCGTTGATCTTGATCTCATCGAGTGGGATTACAAGAGTCTCGTCGGACAGACACTTTTTCAAGTTCGAGACGTGGAAGGTAGAATGTACGTTACTGAGTTCGCTCGGTAAGTTAAGTTTGTAAGCTACAGGACCGATTCTGGCAAGAATCTCGAAAGGCCCAATGTACCTTGGATTTAGCTTTCCATGCTTTCCAAAGCGTATTAAGCCCTTCCAGGGTGAGACTTTCAATAGAACTTGGTCGCCCACCTGGAATTCCAACGGTTTCCTTCGTTTATCAGCGTAGCTTTTCTGTCGGTCTCTGGAGGCTTTCAGTCGTTCATGGATCTGAACGATCTTCTCCGTCGTTTCCCGTATGATCTCCGGACCTGTGAGAGTGCTTTCAGGAACTCGTCCCTTAGCTAACTGGGTATCACCCACCTCAGCCCAGCGCAGAGGGGATCTGCACTTTCGGCCGTAGAGGGCCTCGAATGGAGCAGCCTTTATGCTTGTGTGATAACTGTTGTTGTAGGAAAATTCTACAAGGGGTAAATAGGTATCCCATGTTTTCCCAAAGTCGATCACACAGGCTCGCAACATGTCCTCTAAGGTTTGGATAGTCCTCTCACTTTGCCCGTCTGTCTGCGGATGGTAGGCTGTACTCATGTCCAGCCTAGTTCATAAGGAACCTTGTAGCGACTGACAGAACCTAGAAGTGAACCTACTATCTCTGTCCGAGATAATGGATATAGGGACACCGTGCAATCGTACAATTTCCCTTAGGTATGTTCTAGTAAGTTTCTCTATCTTGTCTGTTTCTTTGATTGGTAGGAAGTGCGCGGACTTGGTCAATCTGTCGACCATGACCCATATGGTATCAAGTCCACCCGTTGTCTTGGGCAACTTGGTTATGAAATCCATAGTGATCTGCTCCCACTTCCATTCTGGGATCTCAGGCTGTTGTAGAAGACCTGAGGGTTTCTGTTACTTGACCTTGACTTTTGCGCAAGTAAGGCATTTACTTACGAAGGTAGCAATCTCTGCTTTCATGTTAGGCCACCAGTATAACTTTTTAAGATCCAGATACATCTTATCTGAACCTGGGTGAACGGAATAACGAGTGTTGTGCGCCTCATTCATGACCAAGTCTCTGAAACCACCTAGTTTCGGGGTCCAGATCCGATCCATGAGATAATAAGCTCCGCCACCCTTAACTTCCAAGTTCTTATCCATCCCTCGCAGGGATTCACTGGTCACAT